TAAATATCTGTGTTTTCTGATGATCTTAAGTGACCCCTGTGAAATAGTTGTTTGACTCCAAAAGGGGTCATGATCCATAGGTTGAGAACCACTGACCTACAGTGATTAACATGCCTCAAAAAATCCTCCTTTGAAAGTCAAGCTCACAGTGGATGTGGTATCTCACACCTAGAATCCTCGCACACAGAAGGGGGCTAAAACTTAGAAGTCAATCTGGGGACCATAGTGGGTTTGAGACTACTCTAGACAATAGTGAGGCTTTGTCACCAAAAAAAAAAAGAGAGAGAGAGAAAGAAAGAAAAGAAAGAAAGAAAAAGATTCCATATTCATGTCTACAGCACACCACTGTGTAAATTCCTTGGTGGCTGTGGGTTTCCCAGCAGCTCCACAGTGGCTCATAACGGTGTGAAACCCCAGTTCTAGAGGAGCTCATGACCTGTGCTGGCCTCCAGGGCAATGCACATACGTGATGAAATGGCATACATGCAGTCAAGACACTCATATACAAACTAAAAATTATTAAGTAACTTTCCTCAGCATTACCTTTGATTCCCAGCTCCAGCCTCTGCCATCAGGGATGCCAAGCCTTTCGCTGCTCCTGCTCTGACAAAGCAGGGTCTCCTTCCTGTCTCCCACACTATCTGAACGTTACAGAGTCATCCTCCTGGTTACAGCCATCATACTTCATCCTATGTGTCCAGGCCCCCTGTGCTCAGTTCTCAGCCTCTTCTCTGGGTTTTCCTTCCTTTGGGACAAGTTTACATATTCAACATGGAAATAAATAATCTCTACCAGAACCAGGTGATCAGCTCAAGAGAACTAAAAGGGTATCCCTCCACGCTGGCACAGAAGAAACATTCTGCCTCTTCACCAGCGCCAGAACAGCTGGTCCCAGCGCCCTCCACACTCCACAGCTGCTGCACCAGAGAACTTCACACTTTCTCCACCTGAGCCAAGCTGCTTCCTCAGCATGCCGGCACTTCTGCACACTCACACTCACCCAAGACTCACTGCAAAGTCACCTGCCCTCTTAGCATTATTTCTAATTTCCCTGGTGAGATGTGTGGTCACCTTCCTCCAAGTTACCCAGAGCCCTAGCCAAAGCTTTTCTCATGCCTTCCCCCCACCACCACCACCTTGCATTACAGTTGAGCAGTTGCCTTACTCCCAACTACATACCTGTGAACTCATAGCCCCGGTTTAGGTCTCCTCCAATGCCTATATGTAACCAAACTCATTCTTTAGCCAATGTCAGCAGACTGAGTCTACTGAGGCCATCAGCATGCAAATAAAGCATGCTAATTTAGTAAAACTTGTAATGTTGATGGTTTTAAAAATAAGAATTCACATACATACACACACACACACACAGAGAGAGAGAGAGAGAAAGAGAGAGAGAGAGAGAGAGAGAGAGAGAGAGAGAGAGAGAGGGAGCACAGCCATGAATGAGAGCCACTGGATCATCTTTGGAGCAGAAGAGAGAGCACAGGTATGAGCCACCCACACAGAGGGGCTGCAGACTACGCTACTGCCCCAGGTGCTGTTTACCAAGTGCTCACATGCAGCTCATTAGCGAGTACTAATGGATACTCTGCTCCTTTGGGCTTACAGGGTGACTCAAAGTCGATAACCACAGGGGAAGTTCCACATGTGGAACTCACGCAAGCCTCCTTAGTTACAAATATGACCAAGTGGGTCCAGCCTTTGTTAGAGAGCATTAAGCTGACACCAAAGTCATAAATTTAGGACTTCATCAGGAGTAATGCTCTGCCAGAAAAAAAATGGGAAAAGCCATTCCTCTAACACACATGCCGTGTTCCACAGGGGCTGAGGAGACCCACTGAAATGTCCTATGGACTGTCGCAGTTGTCTTCTGAAGATGCTCTTCCATTCATCCTTCTCTAATGGGTAGAGTCAGCTCATTCAAAAAGACCCACATTTTCCATTATGAACAGGTCTCTGAAGATATCGTTAGGGAACGTGGGTAGAGCATCCGAAATACAGTCAAAGGAAGAGGCAGCATTGCATTACTGAATCAGAAGACAATTTATGGCATCTTCCATTAAATTGAGGCTGTTTTTTCTCTGTGTGCCATTAGGTGACACCACTAGCCTGCATGCAGATTCATCAAGTGTTGGGGCTGTGTATTTTAGAATCTATTCCACCCAACATCTATTGTCTTTTAGATGTCAGCTGACAGCCACTAGATGGCCTGGTCTCAGTGGAGAATGGCTCCTATTCTAAATAACGATAGCCTTGGGCCAAGGAGAGCTTACACCCACCCTGAAGGCTAGTGAGTCGTGCTGATGTAGGGTGCCTGAGGACTTGAGTATGTGCAGCAAAGAAGTGTCTCTAGGATTACGGGAATATTTGCTATTAGTCCTTTATACATGATAATATAATGTAATAACATATACATGATAATAGATGTCTTCTGCCATTGCCCCCACCTTTGGATGATTATTTAAGATGATGCATCAATAAACCAGGGCCTTCAGTAGTAACTGAATGCCCTCCTGATATGACCAGATGTCTCTGTCTCATCTTTAACATCGTTGGATAGTTAGCTTTCCCGCATCCACACACCCCTACTCAGGGTCCGATCCGGGGTTGTTTGGCTGGTTCTGATTGCAGCCCCAAAGACATCAGTCTGTAATAAATGGCTCCCTGAACATGGAGCTAATACAGATAATCAAGTTCTGTGATTACACCTGGAGTGAGTAAGTCTGAGTGGAACCCATAGCACAGGCAAGCCTGCAGCAGCACACCCCACTCCCTCTCCTCTTCTGGGGCTCTGCTCTCGAGACATTTCAGGTCTGGGCAAAGGAGGACCATTAGGCCTCCACTGCATATAGGGTTAACAGAAGAGACTCTAATGTTCAGAAAGATCTTGTCATAAAAAGTCATTTCCCAGCACGGTGTCCTCCAGCAATGTGTCATCCGCAGTTTTCTTTCCCAGCAGAGTGGAGCCTGTACCAGGAAGAGATGATGTCATCGGGAGATGCTGCTCCCAGCAGTTCCTCAGCTGAGCTCAACGGATGAGACATGGCCCTCAAAATCCAAGAGAGCTTGCCCGGGTTTGTTATTCTACTCCGAAGGACACACCAAATATTCATACATGTTCACTTCCTAGGGAAGGACTAAGGTCCATAGGGTGATTGCTAGAGGACAACGGAGCTACTAGCAACGCACCTCCAGGTGACCAGACAGCACAAAGAAATGTCAGCATAATGAAGCAAGGCCTGGAGGGTGAGGTTATGCCTGCCCACCTCGAAGTACAGAGGGGAAAAGAGAGGGTTTCCACCCCAGTCTCCTCTACCATCAAGTCAGTTCCCACAACTAAAGAGGGTAATGACACCAACATGTGTCTGGGGTGCTGTGAGGGCTAAAGTTATATTTTAAGTTTAAATTACTGTGCTTAAGAGATCTATAAGTGCCTCTAACCTGTAAGCTCCACTTGCCCAAGGACAGAGAACTTCCCGGAATGCCGGGGCTGTAGTTCATGTAAGATAACAAGACATGTGTTTTTCCTTCTCTAAACAAGGTTGGTTGCCCCAGCTACACAGGATGTGCTTGATCACTGGTAGGCCGGAAGTAGGAAGGCAGAAGTACATCAGGATGTATGCTTGCCCGTGATTGGACGGAGGCAGGAAATACATAGCCTTGTGGGTTTTGCCTTTTATCAGCCCCTGGCTACTACAGCAGGAATGGACCTGGCCAGTGTCCATCATCCTGGCCAGTATTTAATAAAGCTTGCTTCAAATTTACCTCTGGAATTGTGGTAGTTGTTATGGTAAAAGCTTTGTCCCAGCCCCTGGCATCCATATACCCAGAGTCTGGAATGTTATGGTGGAAGTTCCACCCAAGCCCCGCTCCAAACCCTGCTGCATCTCAGAAAGCCCACCAAATGATAGCCCCTCTCCCAGAGATATTCAAGACCACTCCCACAGGGTATTTAAACTGTCCCTCAGAGAACAGACTCAGTGGTTTTTCCAGCCTCCCTTTCCTGTCTGCTCTCTGGGGGTCTGGAAGGCCATCTGGGAGCACTGTATCCATTAAACATGGGCTTTTTCTAATTGGGTTTGATCTGGTCTGATTTGGATTGCTGCCTCAGCGGGGAGGCTTATCGGGTTGCAGAAACTTTTCATCAGTGGTCTTTCCCACCCCCTTGAGGAGGGGGAGATAAGCAGTACTACAGATGAAAGGGTAGCTGGTCTGAAGTGCCTGATCCAATGCCTAACACACGAGAGGCCTCCCGCCAACAGCACACTCCCTGCTCCCACTTTCTCCCTGTCCCTTCATCCATTGGGACAAAATAACTTCTAGAACTTGACCTTGATCTACCCAAACACCACCGACCTCAGCAGAGCCACCCACGAAACCCCCCCCACTCATACAGCCCCCCACTCCCCGACCCTCCACCCCCACATACACACATTTTTACAGTGACAGGCAGTCTGAGAGCCCCAGCCAGCCTCCCCAGCTTTCCTTCACTTCCTTTCCAAAGAATAAGTTTTCTCTGGGGCATGAACAAGTTTGAGTTAAAACCCATGATGGGAACAAGCAGTACAGAGAAACACTTCCCATGCTGTCTGAGCATCAGAAGGTTGCTGCAGCCTTCAGCATGCAGGGGAAGCGGCAGCCATGGGGGGCGGGGGGAGGCACGTGCAAACATGGCTCCTTGTTAAGGCTGCACTGGACACAAACCTTCCTCCATAAAGGAATGTCACCAATAATGAGGAATCATGGTTGGGCAGGCGAGAAGCTAGGAGACAGGCAGGGACAAGAATGGCTGACTCCTCCTGCCTCGTTTCACTGGTGTTTTTATATAACTGTGTACAGTGAACTCTCAGTCCTTTGATGGTAGGTTGCTATATTCCCTTTCCTTGTTTAGATTTTTTTTTTAAATCTGGTAGAAATGGGCACAATTAGAAAAAGAAGAGCCAACAGGGGAAATGTGGTTTTAAAAAAAAAAGGTTTTGCAGCCAAACTGAACTTTTAAACTACTGATATTTCATTTTCCTTGAAATCTGTGCAGATACTTACATTTCCATGCAGTTACGAAGTCAGTGAACTAAGTGAGCACTTCACACTCTCAGAGAAAAGGTTATGGGTTATTTGCTATTGTTAAGTTTTATGTTGAGCTTCCCAGAGCTCTATGTGCTGTGTCTCACGCTGCCTATGGGGCCCATGATAAATAAGCCTATTAGGCAGGGGTTACTGTTACCTCTGCTGTTGTTTCAAGACAGGGACCAAGAGGCAAAGGAAATCATGTGTTTTCCCCACAGGGTCTCACAGCCAGGGAGAAAGCGTCAGATGTGAACCCAGGTCTCCCGAGAGCAAGGCAGGTCTTGTTTTTTCCAAGCTAGGCAGCCTCTGCTTTCCCTGGTCACATGAGACGTTTCTTACCTTCCAACTCTTCCTTCTCATAGTGGATGTTGAGGACTGTGCTGGTGCCACCCTGATCTACCACAGCTTCCTCATCTGGTCTCTGTTTAAAACAGATATGCAAATGGTCACAGAAATACACAAATATTCATCCATTCAATGCAAATAGTTACAGAAATACACGCATATTTATTCATCCAAATACTTCAAACCACAGTACATACCAAGACTCCTTAGAGATACCTGGAGGGGAAAAACAGTGGTTTACATATATTTTTAAATTGGATCCTCACAATAACCTTGAGATAAAACTATGGCAGCCGTTTTCTGTGGGCTTCTGTGAGGAGCCTAGACCCAAAGCACATTTAAATAACTGAGCCCCACAGTCACAGAGGTGGAAGAACGAGTTAAGACTGAGCATAGTGAATGCTCACGTAAACGTCCACACAGTGAGTGCTCAGTCTTTCTTTTTCATTTTATTCCAAGTGCTTTTGTGTTTTGTCTGCATCCATGCCTGTGTAAAGGTGTTAGGTGCCCTGGAACTGTAGTTACAGAAGTGAGCTGCCGTGTGGGTGCCGGGAATTGCGCCTGGGTCCCATGAAGAGCAGTCAGTGCTCTTAACTGCTGCGTCATCTCTCCAGCCACCAGAAGGTCTTTCCTAAAAGAATGTTGTGATCACAGTGCCCTCCTTCGTAAATGCAAGGCATGAATTTACTAAGACAAACACACTTAACTGATACTCTGGTACCGCTTTCCTTTCCTGATGTGCGGCTCTGGCCAGGCTACTTTACCACAGGGACAACACCGGCACACTGGACACACTCTCATCTCCATGTGGCCTGTGCACACTGTCAGGCTCTGTGCTTCCCCCAAGCTCTGCAGCACAGCCCCCCCCCCCATTGCTCGGATCTCTCTCCAAAGTCCCCACTTCATCATGCTCATCTATGCACCCCAACAATGCTGAACACAGGCAATCTAGTTCCCCAATGAGGAGGCATTTTTTAATGAGGTTAACTTAAATAAATTCTTAGAGAATGTCAAATGTCACTTAGAGTGATTAATTTGATGAGTTACTTTTTAGACATTTAAAATTACATATTATTGCTACCATGAAAAAAAAAATCTCCAAGAGAGAAAATTAAGTTTTAAAAATGAAGTAAAAAAAACTGTGATTTGCTACACAGGGAGCTGGAACATAAATGCCTGGTTGCACTTTAGAGTAAAGGGGTCTGGAGAGACAGCCCAGTGATTAAGATCACTGACTGCTCTAGAGAACCTGACTTCTATTCCCAGCACCCACTTGACAGCTTCCAACCACCTAAAAACTCCAGTTCCAGAGAATCTAATGCCCTCTTCTGGCCTCCAAGGGCACTGCATGTACATGGTGCATAGACATACATGCAGGCAACACCCAGACACATGGAAGAGAGAAGAGAAAAGAAAACTGGGAAAGAATTATTACTCTCCACAAACTTTTAACCCAGTGTGGTAGCACACACCTGTAATCTCAGAACTCAGGAAGCTAAGGCAGGAGGATCAATAGTTCTAGGGAAACAGTTTTTTGTTTGTTTTTAAGAAAGAAAAAGAAAGGAAAAGAAAAAAGTAAAGAAGAAAAATTTCATGTATTGAGTAAGTCCAGTCCTATGATATTCAAAAAAAGACAAAACTATGGAAACATAAAAAAAGAAAAGTGTGATGGCCGTGGTGGCGCACACCTTTAATCCCAGTACTGGGGAGACAGGGGCAGGTGGATCTCTGTGAGTTAGAGGCCAGTTTGGTCTACATAGTGAGTTCCAGGACAGCCAGGGCAACAGGGAAAAACTATCTCAAAAACAAAATACAAAAAAAAAAAAAAGAAAGAAAGAAAGGAATGACAAAGAAAAGAAGAGTTCTTCCTGAGGCTGGGGGCTAGGGGCTGGGGGAGGGCTAAACAGGTCAGATGCAGAGGATCTGGGGGCAGGGTAATGAGTCTGTATTGTTCAGGCATGGGGGATCCATGTCATCAAACATTTGTCCAAGCCCACAGAATGTACAACACTAAGGCCTCACCCTAATGCAAGCTATGGGCTTATTATTAAAAGCTGCTCTGGGGGTGGGGGTGCACAACGACACACAGACACCTGACTAAAGAGAATGTTCTGTGCCTTCTGCAGTAACTGTGGAAATAAAGCTGTTACAAAGTCTAAAAATCAGAACAGAAAAATGGGACATATGGGACAAGTTGAAATTTAAATGCCGAGGAGGACACTCATGGTGTGGGAAAGACTATCTTCCATTAGATGTACTGGACTGATGTTGCAGAGGCCTTACATTTTAGAGACAAAATTAACACTTCAGAACCAAACATGATGTTCACACTTGTAATCACAGATGAGGCAGATGGAGTACCATGAATTCAAGTTTTTTGGTTTTTGAGAAGGCTTTCTCTGTAGCCCAGGCTGGCCCCTCAGTGGCTGTCTTGCTTCAGCCACGCTGAGCATGGGGATTAGTGAAAGCCATTGGTGGAGCGGCTGGAGCTGTCTTCAGTCATCACACTAGGGGCTGCAGTCCTGGCGTTGTATATCTGGAGGTCACTGTGTGTTCTGAGATGACTGACTGTGTGAAAACACTGTCAGACCCAGTGTGGTTGAGAACGAGGGCCCTCAAAGGTTAGAAGTGAGGCAAAGCTGCAAAAACAGAAGGTTAATAAAAGCCACATCTTCTCTGAGTGGGAAGCATCAATAAAAGGATATGGCATATCCTCTGTCCATAAATGGCTTTAAATTAGTTGGTATTTTTTAACTCTATCCTTTCAGAAGGCCTATAACATAAGATCAACCAGTGGCTATAAGTATCATTAGCACCCAGATTATGATCTCTAAAACTCATTTTCTCCTTGAAGGAGTCGGAGTTTCTTGGAGGAAAATATGGCTGATAGAAGGACAGAGTGGTGGGCACCTTTAACCCCCCACACTCCAGAAGCAGGGGCAGCATGATCTGTGAATGTTACAGGACTGCCAGGGCTACACAGTAAGACCCTCTCTCAAAAAAATCAAAACAAAACAAAAATTGGCTGGTTACGGTCTGAGTGAGGAATACACAAGGTGTGTTTGAAACCTCCAGTTTTATCAGACAGCAAGGAAACACAGAGAGCAGTAGACACGTGGCCAAAGGCACCAGCAGCCACCTTAGAGGGTCCTTGCCAACAACACAGTGACCTGTGCTCCAATTCAGGTAACACCTTCAATAGACGACATAGAACAAATACATGAAGACCTGTGAGTCTACGGCACTGTCAAATTTAACAAGGGGCTGAGGATGTAGCTCAGTGCAAAAGCACTGCCTAGCCTGTGCAGTGCCCTGTGTTCTAGACACACACACACACACACACACACACACACACACACACACATTTTAACTAGTTAGCCATCATTGAAGGACAATTCTAACAAGGCAACTCTTGACTATGAAAGGTGATAGTGTGTCTAGGCTTTCTTCTGAGTGTGCCAGAGCAGATGAAACAGGTTTTTCATTACAGAAGAGAATAAATGAGAAATATTTTTTTAAAAAATTTCCCAAACACCACTTTAAAGTCCCTCATGGACTGCACAGGTTTTCAGTGGCTGCTAACATGACAAAGAGAGACACCGAGACCCTGGGGATTGAGGTATAAATTGTCCTCGAATCTGATAAAGCCTCTAAAACCAAATACCAATTTACTGAAAACACTATCAAACAGGGGTTCACAGAAAACGACACACAATCAGCAGCACCTGGATTCTGTCCGCTCAGCCTATGAGTGGCA